CTCTGAGCCTCCTTCCTCAGGGAAAATGCTAAAAAAACCAATTCTGTTTCTTTGTCCAATAAAAAACTGGAACAACCATCATGGCTGCTGAACCAGAGACAGGTGGTGTAATTGTAAGGTCTGATGCCAGAGCAGAAGGTAGCCAAAGGTCCTCCCAATTTGTTTCCAAAAGGAATTTTAAAATTAAAGGTTAAATATGATTACATTATCAATAATAATAGTTGATGACTTTTATACAGCATTTCTTTTTTTTAGAGACAGAGTCTTACTTTGTTGCCTAGGATGGAGTGCAGTGACATGATCATAACTCACTGCAGCCTCCAACTCCTGGGCTCAAGTGATCCTCCTGCCTCAGCCTCCTAAGTAGGCCACCGACAGGTGCACCACCATGCCCAGGTTCCGCTTTTATTATAACAATAGATAAAATAACTACAGAAGACCATACAAGGAAATAGAGGAGTTGAACAACACTATAAACCAACTGGAGCTACTAGACATGCATGGAACACTCTACCCAACAATAGCAGAACAAAGATTATTCTCAAGAGCACTTGGAATATTCTCCGGTATAGTCATGTTCAGTCATAAATAAGTCTCAAATTTCAGAAGATTGAAATCATACGAAGTATGTTCTCTGAACATAATGGAATAAAATTAGAAATCAATAGCAGAAGGAAAATTTAAAAATTCACAAGTATGTAGGAATGAAACAACATGCTCTTAAACATATAGTGGGTTGAAGAAGAAATTACAAGAGAAATTAGAAATTGCTTTAAACTAAAGAAAATGAAAAGACAACACACCAAAATATATGGGATGCAGCAGAAGCCATGCCAAGAGGGAAATTTATAGCTGTAAATGCATACATTGAAAAAGAACAATCTCAGGCCGGGTACAGTGGCTCACGCCTGTAATCCTAGCACTCTGGGAGGCCGAGGCGGGCGGATCGTTTGAGCTCAGGAGTTCGAGACCAGCCTGAGCAAGAGCGAGACCCGTCTCTACTAAAAATAGAAAGAGCCGGGCACGGTGGCTCACGCCTGTAATCCTAGCTCTCTGGGAGGCTGAGGCGGGCAGATTGCTCGAGGTCAGGAGTTCGAAACCAGCCTGAGCAAGAGCGAGACCCCGTCTCTACTATAAATAGAAAGAAATTAATTGGCCAACTAATATATATATAAAAAAAAAAATTAGCGGGGCATGGTGGCGCATGCCTGTAGTCCCAGCTACTCGGGTGGCTGAGGCAGAAGGATTGCTTAAGCCCAGAAGTCTGAAGTTGCTGTAAGCGAGGCTGATGCCATGGCACTCCACTCCAGGCAATAGAACAAGACTCTGTCTCAAAAAAACAAACAAACAAACAAAAAAAAACCTCAGATCAATAACCTAACTTTACACCAGGAACTAGAAAAATAAGAGCAAGCTAAACCCAACATCAGCAAAAGAAAGGAAATAATAAAGATTAGAATGTAGAATGGAAATAGGCCAGGCATGATGTCTTTCATGCCTATAATCCCAGTGCTTTGGGAGGCCAAGGTGGGAGGATCACTTTAGCCCAGGAGTTTGAGCCCAGCCTGGGCAACATAGCAAGATTCCATCTCTACTAAAAAAAAAAAAAAAAGAAAAGAAAAGAAAAGAAAAAAAATTAGCGACGCAATCACTTCAGCCCAGGAATTTGAGGTTACAGGCCACTGCACTTCAGCCTGGGAAAGTAAGAAAGAAATGAAGGAAGGAGAATGGAGATAAATGAAATAGCAAATAGAAAAAAAAAATCAATGAAACCAAAAATTGGATCTTGGAAAAGATCAACAAAATTGACAAGTCTTTAGCTAGAAAAACCAAGAAAAAAAATAAGACTCAAATTACTTCTCAGGAAAGAAAGTGGAGACACCACTACTAATCTTACAGAAGTACAAAAGATTATAAAGAAATACTATGAATAATTGCATGTAAACAAATTAGATAATTAGATGAAATGAGCAAATTCCTAGAAACACACAATCTACCAAAACTGACTCAAGAAGAAATAGAAAATTTGAATATACCTATAATAAGTAAAGAGATTGAAATATTAATTTTATAAAACTCCTACAAAGAAAAGCCCAGGATCAGATGGTTTTACTAGTGAATTCTATCAAATGCTTGAATTAAAACCAAACCATTACAAACTCTTCCAAAAAAAATAGAAGATGAGGAAACATTTCCCAACTTTTTCTATGAGACCAGCATTACTCTGAAACCAAACCCAGAAAATGACATCACAAGCAAATAAAATCACAAAGTAATGTCCTATGAATGTAGACACAAAAGCCCTCAACAAAATATGAGCCGATGGAAGCCGGCAGCATATTAAAAGGATTGTACACCCTGGCATTTATCCCAGGAGGGCAAAAGTGGCTTAATGCACAAAAATCAATCAATGAAATACACCACATTAATAAAGGACAAAAATCACATAATCATTTTAATAATGCAGAAAAGGCATTTGATAAAATCTAACATACTTGATGAAATCACTCAACAGATGAAGATGAGAACTTCCTCAATTGGATAAAGGGCATCTATGAAAAACCTACAACTAACATTATACTTATTGGTGAAAGACTGAATACTTCCCCTGCTAAGATCAGGAACAAGACAAAAATGATCACTCTCACTACTTCTATTTAACGTTGTACTGAAGGTTCTAGCCAGGGAAATTAGATAAGAAAAAGGAATAAAAGACATCCAGATTGGAAGGGTAAAAAGTAAAACTATCTGTATTCACAGATGACATATTGTATATAAGAAACCCTAATGAATTCATTAAAAAACTATTAGAGCTAATAAACAAGTAGAGCAAGGTTGCAGCAATACACAAAAATCAATAGTAGGGCCAGGCCCCGTGGCTCACACCTATAATCCTAGCACTCTGGGAGGCCAAGGCAGGTGGATCGCACAAGGTCAGGAGTTCGAAACCAGCCTGAGCAAGAGCGAGACCCCTGTCTCTACTAAAAATAGAAAGAAACTAATTGGCTGACTAAAAATATATAGAAAAAATTAGCTAGGCATGGTGGCACAAGCCTGTAGTCCCAGCTACTTAGGAGGCTGAGGCAGAAGGACTGCTTGAGCCCAGGAGTTTGAGGTTGCTGTGAGCTACGTTGACGCCATGGCACTCTAGCACAGGCAACAGAGTGATACTCTGTCTCAAAAAAAAAAAAAAAATCAATAGTATACATTTGCAATGGACAAGCAAAAAATGAAATGAAGACAACACTTCCCTTTACAATAGCATCAAAAAGAATAAAATACTTAAGATAAATTTACCCAGGGAAGTGCAACATTTGAACACTGAAAACTATTAATACAAAGTGCTGTTGAAAGAAATTAAAGATTAATTCTGAAATGTGGATCAAATTAGGTTTTGAAACTGCGAGACAGGCCAAACCATGGAAAAGCGGAGTCACCCAGAGGGGGCGGGTAAGGAAACTGTTGTATCCTCTGACATCCGCTGTCTAGCTCCTTTAACATGGAGATCTGGATTTCTCATCTTAAACTTTTTTTTCGGATAAACATCATTATGAGCTGGGCACAGTGGCACACCCGCAGTCCCAGCTACTCCAGAGGCTGAGACAGGAGGATCGCTTGAGCCCCCCAGGAGTTCGAGGGTGCTATGATTGTGCCTGTGAATAGCCACTGCACTCCATCCTGGGCAACATAGCGAGACACTCTGTCTCTGAAAAAAAGAGAAGAAAAAAGGAAAAGAAAAGCAAAAATATCATTATTACGAATCTTCACTTTCTTTGCAGAAATATTCCTTACTGCAGAAAACATTATGCTACTGCTGACACATTTTTAGTTGGACTTGTTTTAGAAAATGGCACATGACCCTGATACCATTTAACCGGTGGTGGCTTCCCTGTCTTTTTTTTTTTTTGAGACAAAGTCTTACTTTGTTGCCCAGGCTAGAGTGAGTGCCGTGTTGTCAGCCTAGCTCACGGCAACCTCAAACTTCCTGGGCTCAAGCAATCCTCCTGCCTCAGCCTCCCGAGTAGCTGGGACTACAGGCATGCGCCACCATGCCTGGCTAATTTTTTCTATATATATTAGTTGGCCAATTAATTTCTTTCTGTTTATAGTAGAGACGGGGTCTCGCTCTTGCTCAGGCCGGTTTTGAACTCCTGACCTTGAGCAATCTGCCCGCCTCGGCCTCCCAGGGTGCTAGGATTACAGGCTTGAGCCACCGCGCCCGGCCTTCTCGGTCTTTTTAAAGATGGAAAAACGGAGGCCTGGAGAAGGGAAGAAACAGGCCGCGCGCGGTGGCTCAGACTTTCTGGGTCTACAGTCATTCAGTGCCTCAGTTTCCCTACCTGTAAAATGGGAACAATAAGAAATTCTGACACACGCTGCAACGTGGATGCAACTAGAAGGCGTTACACTAAGTGAAACTACCCAGTCAGGAAAAGACGGGACTGCAGCCCCTCCTCCGCAGACCGCCCCAGGGGCGACTAGTCGTTGCCACCACCTGGGAGCGCTCTGGAGCCCGTGCGCCCAGCCCCTCGGACGCGCCCCGGGCCCGGCCCAAAGTCCCAGGCGCAGGAGCCGCCCAGTGGGGCGTGGCGGCCGGGGGCGAGGCCGCGCTGGGCCTGGCCCGACCCGAGTCCCCGCGCTGGAGTTTGCTGTCCCCGTCCGGGCGCGAGTCCTGTCAGCCGCCCCGCCATGGGCCTGGAGCTCTACCTGGACCTGCTGTCGCAGCCCTGCCGCGCCGTCTACATCTTCGCCAAGAAGAACGGCATCCCCTTCGAGCTGCGCACGGTGGAGCTGCTCAGAGGTGGCCCGGCCTTGGGTTTGGGGAACTGAGCGGTCGGGGGGTGGGGGACATCCCTTGGCAGCGGTCCGCTGGCACCAGGAACAGGTTTCATGGAAGACGACTTTTCCAGGGACTGGGGAGGCTGGGGCGGGAGCAGGGGGAGGGGCGCGGGTGGGGGAGGGCTGGCGGGGGCGGCGGGGAGGGGGTGCTCAGGCCGCGATGCTCGGCCCTGTTTTCCTACCAGTGACCGGCTGTGGCCAGGGAGTTAGGGGCCACGGCCTTAAGGAACCCCTCCCCGTGCCACCCCCTTCCTGGGGCCATCGCCCGTCTGGTTTGGAGACCGGGCCCAGAAAGATGAGCCACGAGGGAGATCCAAGATTCCGGAATCCCCCCAAACTCTGCTCGGTCCCACGGAATAGACAATGGGGCCCAATAAAGGGGCCCAATGGGGCATGAAGAGAGGAAGAGAGACCTGGGCCTAGGGCTTGGGGAATCACGGGAATGGCGATGGAGGCAGAGTGTAGAGGCTGGGACAGTGTCGGGGCCCCCTCTGTGGCCCCTCTGCTGAGATTCTGCAACGGCAGGCAGGTGAGGCATTGCTCCAAGACCAGACCTTCCAGGCCTGCGCTCTGCACTGGCTCAGTCTGCACTGGGGTGCCTCTGTGCCCTTCCTTCTTCTGCTCCTCCTGTTTTGCCTCCACTCACTCTGTCTTCCTCCTCTCTTGCTGCTGCTGGGGAGGGAGGCTGCCCCAGGGGGTAGCTGGGAGCAGGAGGGGGACAGGGCTCCGTGAGCCTGCACACCGAGGAGCAGGGTGTTCGTTTCTCTGGCAGGCCTCCAGGGCCCTCAAGCACACAGCTGGCAGGGGGGGCTGGGATGCAGGGCCTGGGTGTTGCTGGCGGCACCCTCATAGGCTAAGCTTTCCACCCAACGCTCCTCCCCAGCATGGCCCCTCCCCTGCCTTTGTGTCTTTGCACTGGCCTGTCCCTCTGCTTGAAACTTCATCTCCTCCTAGCCTCTTCTGCGAACTGCCCGCTTGTTCTGCACAGGGGACTACCTCTGCAGAGTGTGGGGCAAGGGAGGGGACACGGGAGACAAGGGAATGTCCAAGTTGGCTGTCAAATATAGTGGGCAGTGCAGACAGAGGTGTGTTTTCCTAGGGGAGAGGGGCAGGTGCTCCTGATGAGAGCCATCTGAAGGGAGAATAAAGAGAGAGTAGCAGGTGTGGGCGAGGCTGGAGGGTTAAGGTGACTGTGTATGGCTTTGAAGAGCTGATGCATGGGTAATGGGGAGCCACTGAGAGCTATAGAGCAGGGCAGTGATGAGACTTAAGTACCCTTAGAAGTTTCTTCCTGGCTGCATCTGCAGCAGAAAACCTGTCAGACCAGGGCAAGTAGAAGCCAGGGTTCCTGGGCTGCACCTTTCAGGGACTGAGTCGGGCAGGAAATGTGACTGTCCTAGCTTCATCAGAGCCTACAGGCAGGGCCAGCTCTGTGTCTTCAGTGTCCAGGGCAGGGTGAGCAAGGTGACACAGGGGCCAGTAGAAGTTGGTTACAAGTAAATAGATTCCAGGAAAAGGCCACTTCTCTGTGTTTGGTGACCCTGCCTGAGAGTCCCTGGGGGAAGGATGCTGTAGGAAGTCAGCTAACTCAGGTGACCTGCCCCTGCAGCTTGGTGCACTCCAAATGTCAGCGCATGAGGCTGGCCATGGTGGGAAGAGGAGGCAGGTGGGGTGTATGTGAGTTCCCAGGCACCGAGCCCTGCAGGTCTCTCTGTCGCAGAGACGTGGGCCGTGTCCACCGGGGCTTGGCGAGGGGTGTTGAAGTCTACTTTGCAGCATCTGGCAGAGTGGCCTCCCCCTCCTCCCACAGCGGCCCCCTCAGGCCTTGGCAATCCTGGAGGACAGCCCAGTAGGGCGCAGAGCCATGAAACTGGGGCCTGGGCATTGCAGGGAGTGGGCGCAGGCCATGGAGGGCTAAGTGTCCCTCCCGCCACCCACCATGCTGTGCTTCCTGCAGGCCAGCACCTCAGCGATGCCTTTGCCCAGGTGAATCCCCTGAAGAAAGTGCCGGCCTTGAAGGACGGGGACTTCACCTTGACTGAGAGGTAACCGGGACAGGACCCTGGGGCTGCTGCCAGGCCTTGCTAGAACCATCCTGTCCTAACCCTCCATTTTATAGACAAGGAAACTAAAGTCAGAGGCTACGGCCCCTTTGCCTGACATCCCACAGTGAGTGAGACTGGAACCCAGGCCTCTGCTGGCCTGTTCTTCCAGTTCCCAGAGGCTTGGGACAACAAACATCTGCTTTACTTCTCCACTGGTACTTAGGTTGCTGGACGCAGGGTGGAGCCCTTTTGTCACCTGAGTCACCCATCCCATAAAAAAGAGAACTTGGCATTTGTGTTTCAGAGCTTATCTCTGAAATCTCGGGATGGATGCATCTCTGATTGAGTTCCTCTGACATTCTGCCAGTGACATTCTTCCTTTCCAGTGCCCCCAGGTGGCCTGAGTCCTTGTGTCTGCTCAGTGTTGAAGCCCCTGGGTGCAGGGGCTGCAGGCTCTGCATTTCTCTGTCATTGCTCTCACCCTTGGGAGGTCTGTGGCTCACAGGGACCTGCAGCCCTCCCAGAGGTGGCTTGAACAATTAGCTGGGAGCAAAAGGAGCTCTGGGGCACCCTGCACAGATAACCGAGTCACTAAGCTGGGGCATGGGTGCAGAATTCTTCACAGGGGACATGGGCCAGTGGCAGACACAGAGGCTTTCTGCTCTTTTGGCTGGGGTGCCCAACCCTTGGGATACCCCAAGTTCCTGAAAGCTTTTCTATGGCCCCAAATTCATACATCCTCTATGTCCTTCCGGGTCTAGCCGCGTCCAACACCATGACGGCCTTCATAACCCAGGGGAGGAGGAGACACCAGGGGACCTTGTTTGTTCTGTGAGAATATTTTAGGACCCAAACTACCTCAGTTTAGATATTGAGCTACCTCTTGGCAGAAAGAATGACCTAAAGAACAAAGGGGCCAGGCGCGGTGGCTCACCCTTGTAATCCTAGCACTCTGGGAGGCCGAGGCGGGCGGACCGCTCGAGGTCAGGAGTTCGAAACCAGCAAGAGCGAGACCCCATCTCTCCTATAAATAGAAAGAAATTAATTGGCCAACTAATATATATAGAAAAAATGAGCCGGGCATGGTGGCCCATGCCTGCAGTCCCAGCTACTCGGGAGGCTGAGGCAGCAGGATCGCTTGAGCCCAGGAGTTTGAGGTTGCTGTGAGCTAGGCTGACGCCACGGCACTCACTCTAGCCTGAGCAATAAAGCAAGACTCTGTCTCAAAAGAAAAAAAAAAAAAGAACAAAGGGACAACAAGAAAGACTTTTGAACAGTCAGGCCATTGGGAGGCTGGTCTAAATGCCAGAGGACGAGAGTGGATGCAAACTGGAAAGAACTGAGCTTCCTTAAGGCTCAGCTTTGATGCCACCTCCTCCAGGAAGCTCTCCTCTGATCAGAAACTGTCTCTGAACAGTTGGTGGGACACTCTCCTGTGGGACTTTGCCTGGTGGTAGGACAAGTTTGGGTATAATATTACCCTCAGAAAGACTCTCAGCTCTGCCACTAAGGGCTGAGTGCCCTGGGGCAAGTTCTCTCTCCCTTCCTAGCCTGGTTTCCTTGTCTGGAAAATGAGGCTAATACCTTGGGTTGTCAAGATGATTAAAAAAGCTACTGTGTGTAAAGTTCCTAGCATGATGCCCTTCCCTCACCCATCGTGCACGCACCCCCACAGTGTGGCCATCCTTCTCTACCTGGCTCGAAAGTATGAGGCCCCTGACCACTGGTACCCCCAGGACCTGCAGGGCCGCGCCCGCGTGGATGAGTACCTGGCATGGCAGCACACGGCCCTGCGGAGAAACTGCCTCCGGGCCCTGTGGCATAAGGTGAGGCTGGGGTGAGGAGGGGGTGGCATTGATGGCATCACCCCAAAGGTGCTCAGACACCATCGAATTCTTCTTTTCAGTTTGGATGGTTTCTACCTACCTGTCTTTGACTTCCCTGATTCTTCCTTCTGTTGTGCCAGGTTACTGTTAAGCACATCTAACACAGTCTTTGTTTGAGATATGCACTTTTCAGTTCTAGAAATTCCATTTTTTTTTTTAGCTTTCAATTCTCTGCTGAAATTCACGTATCTGTTCCTCTATTTCTTCTGTCTTCTTTTATAAACTCTTTAACATATTTATCATTGTTTCCTAAAGTCTTTGTCAGCTAATTTCAACCCCTGGGTCCTCTCTGTGTCCGTTTCTTTTTCTTTTGTTTGAAACATAGTCTTATACTTTGTTGCCCTGGCTAGAGTGCCATGGCATCAGCCTAGCTCACAGCAACCTCAAACTCCTGGGCTCAAGCAATCCTTCTGCCTCAGCCTCCCGAGTAGCTGGGACTACAGGCATGCACCACCATGCTTGGCTAATTTTTTCTATATATTTTTAGTTGGCCAGTTAATTTCTTTCTATTTTTAGTAGAGACAGCGTCTCGCTCTTGCTCAGGCTGATTTTGAACTCCTGACCTTGAGCAGTCCTCCCACCTTGGCCTCCCAGAGTGCTAGCATTACAGTCCTGAGCCACCTCGACTGGCCTGTGTCTGTTTCTATTGCTTATCTTTTCTCCCCGTTATTTTTGGTCACATTTTCCTACCTCTTTGCATGTTTCATAATTTCTTATTGTGTGCTTGATATTATGTATAAAAGAAGAGTAGAGATTTAATTACATAATAAATGTCCCAGAAAGGGCTTGCATTTTCCTTGGGCCTCCAGGATGTGAAGCTAATCTCTTTGAGCTAATCAGGGCATAAGCTGGGTTGCAGCTTTATTTAGTTTCGGTGTATCTCTGGTTTCTAATATTTTGAAGGTGAGATAAGGTTGCTAGCTTACTCCAATAGAACTTTGGAATCTGAACACCAACTATCACCATGCCTACGAGATCTCTCTACCTTTTATCCCTACGCCCCAGTTCTCAAATTGCTGCTTAGTCAGAAAAGCCCTCTGCCTGTAGCAAGCTTTTTCTCTGCCGGCTGTGCCCAAGGAAAAGAAATTGGAATAAAAGTAACTTGCCTAGGAAGGGCTCATGCCTCTCAGGAATTTAATTCATTTAGTTAAGTGCTGTCCAATAGAAATACAAAGTGAGTCACATATGTAATTTTGAATTTTCTAGTAGCCACATTTAAAAAGTAAACAAATTAATATATTTTGCTTAACCTAATATATTCAGAATATTATCATTTTGGCCAACAAGCACATGAAAAGATGCTCAGCATCACTAGTCATTAAGGAAATGCAAATCAAAACTATGAGATGGTACTTCACACCCATTAGGATGGCTATCATCAAAAACAAAAACCACATAACAAGTATGGATAAGGATGTGGAGAAATTGGAACCTTCATACACTGTTGGTGCGATTGTAAAATGATGCTGCTGCTATGGCAAACAGTATGGCAGTTCCTCAAAAAAAAAATTAATTAAAAATAGAATTACTAAGTGATCCAGCAATTCCACTTCTGGGTATATACCTAAAATAATTGAAAGCAGGGTCCTAAAGAGATATGTGTATACCCATGTTCATAGCAGTATTATTCATGATAGCCAAGTGTCCATCAACAGATGAATGGTTGAACAAAATGTGGTGTACCCATACAATGGAATATTATTGAGGCTTTAAAAGGAAATAAATTCCGACATGTGCTACAACATAGATGGACCTTGAAGATGATATGCTAAGTAAAATAAGCCAGTCACACAAAAAGGCCAGATACTGTATGTTCCACTTATTTCAGGTACCTAGGGTAGTCAAATTCATAGAGACAGAAAGTAGAATGGCGGTTGCCAGGGGCTGGGAGGAGGGGCAATGTGAGGTTACAGCTTAATGGTACAGAGTTTCAGTTTTACAAGATGAAAAGTGTTCTAGAGATGGCTGATAGTATGGTTGCACAATGTGAATGTACTGAAACTATGTTAAACTGTACTTTTAAGTATATAATGTACACTTCTGAACTGTACACTTAAAATGGTTAGAATGGTAAATTTTTTTGTGTTTTTTACAGCTAAAAATTTTAAAAAATATTTTGACTTGTAATCAGTAGAAACATCATTAATGAACCATTTTACATTCTTTTTTGTACTAAGTCCTCAAAATCTGGTATGTATTTTACGTGTACAGCACACCCCAGCCAGGACCAGCCACATTTTTTTTTTCTGAGACAGAGTTTCACTCTGTTGCCCGGGCTAGAGTGCCATAGTGTCAGCCTAGCTCACAGCAACCTCAAACTCCTGGGCTCAAGCGATCCTCCTTCCTCAGCCTCCTGAGTAGCTGGGACTACAGGCATGCGCACCATGCCCGGCTAATTTTTCTATTTTTAGCAGAGATGGAGTCTCACTCTTGTTCAGGCTGGTTTTAAACTCCTGACCTTGAGCAGTCTTCCCACCTCAGTCGCCCAGAGTGGTAGGGTCACAGCACATTTCAGGAGCTGTTAACTACTTGTGGCTGGTGGTTACCATACTGAACAGCACAGGTTCACGCTCTTTTCTTTTCTCTTTTCCTTTTTTAAAAGTTCCATAACCCTTTGGAGGCTTTAGAAAAAATAAGATGACTTTCTTTCCAGTGTCATTGTTATGGTGTGAGCAATGGCCTTTTGTGACTGTTGATGTCCTAATCAGAAGTGGAACTCATTTTTTAAAAAGTATGGCTAATTCTGTGTCATGGGTTATTTTTTTTTCTGTCTCATATCATTTTTTTATACAAAAACAGAAACACTAGTGAAGTGTCCTGAGTCCTTCCTGAGAGGCCATCCTTTCCGTTCACAAAATTAATACATTATTACTTTATGTGTAGTCAGCCATCAGCAAAATGAAGTTTTGCTTTGAGTGTTTAACATTTTTATCAATGCTCTCATACTATTCTGCAACTTGCATTTTTCACTCAGTATTATGTGTCTTAGAAATTTTTTCATAGTGCTATGGGCAGATCTGGGTAATTCATTCATTTTTAAATGCTCTATACTGTTTTATTATATCAATAAATCAGATTTTTTATTAACTTATTATTGCATTTGAAATGTAAAGAGGAACAAAAACACTGTAAAACCGTAAGAACTTTGGAACCACTGAATCAGAACAAAGGGGAAATGCAGACTTGCAGGGGCAAGACAGGTTGGTAAGTGGGGGAGGTAAGCTGCGTGGGGTCTGTGGACTGAGAGCCCATTGTGACCCTCCTGAAGGAGAAGCTTCTCCGGAGTGGCAGCCTTAGAGGCTGAGCAGAGATACCAGGTAGAAATCTTTACGTTAAAAAGAAGCTGGAGGGGGTCTTTCTCCACTCATGGAGACTGACCCATTCAAAAAAAAGAAGAAGCTGGAAGTCTGGTGAAATGTCTCAATTTTTAAATGTCAACAACTGATCCATATTTTTTAAAAACTCTGCAGCCAAAGAAATGTGCACTGGCTTCCAGGCCCCCAGTGGGCTGTCTCTGATCTACCTTGTATGGGGAGGAAGCTGATGCCCAAAGCCAGGGCTTGTGAACAATCCTAGCCCTGTTAATTGTTTCCTGAGCCCCAACTGTTTCCTGAACCCCAAGCTCCCCAAAGCAGCTTGACCAAAGGAAACACCTGGCTAACAAATAGCCCCTGCCCTGGTCAGCATGCACTGTGTGTCCCTGATGGCTTTGCCAAGCCTCAGAGAGTCGCCTGTGGCTTCCCCTCCAACGGCCTCCTCTGGGAACCCTGGACACCACCCACTCTCTCCTAACTCTCCTCCTTAGTCTGGAATATCTCTGGGTTAGAAGCCATCGGTCCTATGCTTGGCTTCGTCTTTTCTTGGCTGTGCCTCTCTAGGCCTCACTGGCCATTTAGGAAATGAGCCATGCACTCTGTTGTTCCTACGTTATCAATGAGGAGGTTGAGGCTTAGAGGGTTTGAGTATCTTGCTCAAGATAACAGTTTGTAAGTGACAGAGCAGAGAGAGATCTTAAATGCCTATCCTCCTGATTACTTATACTGTAAGAGGTATGGGTTTTATATTCCAAGGGAAAGGGGCTGTAAAATAGATAGTTCCTAAGCTAGCTCCCTGCCCCCAAAAGTATTAAACCCATTGTTCAGTTTGAATCATTCTTTCTGATGCCCCTTAGGCTCAGCCAGTCAGAAATCATGGAAACAGGAGTATTTCTGGAAAAAGGAGTCCCTAGCCAGGCTGGGGAAGAAAGGTGCATGGAACCAGGAGGCAACTCCGAGTTTTGTGTTTTTTGGGGGGAGAGGAGGGAGGAGTTGGTTTTTTTTTTTTTTTTTTTTTGAGACAGAGCCTCGCTTTGTTGCCCAGGCTGAAGTGAGTGCCTTGGCGTCAGCCTAGCTCACAGCAACCTCAAACCCCTGGGCTCAAGCGATCCTCCTGCCTCAGCCTCCCGAGTAGCTGGAACTACAGGCGTGTGCCATCATGCCTGGCTATTTTTTTTAATATACATATTAGCTGGCCAATTAATTTCTTTGTATTTATAGTAGAGACGGGGGTCTCACTCTTGCTCAGGCTGGTTTCGAACTCCTGACCTTGAGCAGTCCGCCCGCCTCAGCCTCCCAGGGTGCTAGGATTACAGGTGTGAGCCACCGCGCCCAGCTTAGAGGAGTTGTTTTCCTGCCTGCAAGGCTAAGCTGGCTCCTAACCGCCTCTTTTTCTTTTGGAGACAGAGTCTCACTTTGTTGCCCAGGCTAGAGTGAGTGCCGTGGCGTCAGCCTAGCTCACAGCAACCTCAATCTCCTGGGCTCAAGTGATCCTCCTGCCTCAGCCTCCCAAGTAGCTGGGACTACAGGCATGCGCCACCATGCCCGGCTAATTTTTTCTGTATATATTAGTTGGCCAATTAATTTCTTTCTATTTTTGGTAGAGACAGGGTCTTGCTCTTGTTCAGGCTGGTTTCGAACTCCTGACCTCGAGCAATCTGCCCGCTTCGGCCTCCCAGAGTGCTAGGATTACAGGTGTGAGCCACCACACCCGGCCCTAATCCCCTCTTTTCCTACCCAACCCCAGGTGATGCTCCCTGTTTTCCTGGGTGAGCCGGTATCTCCCCAGATGCTAGCAGCCACTCTGGCAGAGTTGGACGAGACCCTGCAGTTGCTCGAGAACAAGTTCCTCCAGAACAAGGCCTTCCTTGCTGGGCCCCAGATCTCCCTGGCAGACCTGGTAGCCATCACAGAGCTGATGCATGTGAGTGCTGCGGGCACAGGGGCCACCAGTCAGGGGCCCTGGCTAGTTGCTGAAGTGCTGCTTATGCGCTGCCCCTGTCTCCCCAGTGGTGGGCCTGTGCTTACGTGTGGAAACGCCTTCTGGAGCTCTGTGGTCGGCAAACTGGGCCTGTGTTGCCCATCCTTGGCTTCATCCATTCATCCCCATTATGTCCCTTTTCCCTACAGCCCGTGGGCGCTGGCTGCCAAGTCTTCGAAGGCCGACCTAAGCTGGCTGCATGGCGGCAGCGCGTGGTGGCGGCGGTGGGAGAGGAGCTCTTCCGGGAGGCCCATGAGGTCATTCTGAAGGCCAAAGACTCTCCCCCTGCGGACCCCGCTGTCAAGCAGAAGCTGATGCCTGGGATGCTGGCCATGATCCGGTGATCTGGGATGCCTCAGCTTGCACTGCCCACTGCAGTTCTCAAAGCACCTTCGTTTCTAATGCCCCATGGGAGGCAGGCTCAGCGAGCAGGAGTGGCTTGTCTGAATCTTGCCTGAGTCTCAACGGGGCTCCCCAGGCCAGAGGTCCACCCCTACCCTCTTCCACAGCTGCCTCACAGCCACAGTAATGATGCACACCCAGATCTTATCTCCCTTAATTGCTGAATTTCGTTTTAAATTTGTATAATAAACCTGGGCTCAGCCTGAGCCTCTGCTTCTAACTCTGATGTGTGAGTTATTTGACCTTTCTCTGTCCTGGCCCTGGTTTTCATCTCTGTCCAAAACACAAGCCCCTTCCCGGGCCTTGTAGGTTAGCTTCCCCCGATGGTTGCCAAGAGTGGGATTAACAAAGGCCCTATAGCCTTCTAATTCCTGGAGAAAGTGCCAGCACAGGGGCAGCAGGCATCTCACACATGTTGGTTGTGGGCCTGGTTAACCCATAAATTGGCTGAGTTAGCCACCCAGGACATAGTCCTTACTGTTAATCCCAAATCCTGCATCTCTCCTCAGGAATTGATCGGGAAGAGTAGATCTAGACAGCAGCTCTCCTACTCAGGACCCAGTCCTGCAGGCGCTTAAATGCTGTGCTAGGTGCTTGGCTGTAACTACAAACGGGAACCTAGCGCTCTGATAGCTGATAACATTCTGGCTGCTGGTGGAGGTAGGACTGGAAGGCAGCCAGGGAGAAAGCAGGGAGATTGGATATTGCAGTAATCTGGGCCGAAAGTGACTTGTGAAGAAGGGCAGGCGACCAAGGGGGGTGGAGGATGTGGCCATTCTCAGTCTGGAGAGGGCTGCAGCACTAGACCAGGAAGGCACGCTCCTTGGGGATAGGTCTTCCTTAAACGGGACCATGGGGACTAGGGAGGCAAAGATATTCTCAAGCATTGCTTATTCTCCAATAACCGAGCCTCTTGCCAAGGAGCTTTCTCCCCAAATCTTGGATTTGGGGACAGTGTCTTCTCACCTCAGGAAGGCCTTCTGGGAAACAGGGGTGTCATTAGCCACAGGCCTCAGGAGCCCCCAGGTTGCAGGTGGAGGGATTTGGCTCAGCAAAGTGGGGGGGGGGGAGTTTTGTGAAATCCCAGACACCCCAGGAACTTCTGAATAGGCCTCACAGAGTCTCAGCCTTGGGAGAGGGATTAGCTGCAGTGAGATGAGTGACCCGGGCCGGGGAGGGCAGCGCATTCTACCCAGAGTGTGGTCAGGTACTTTCCCTCCCCGCCTTCCGTCCTGGGAGCCGGGCCCAGGCGCGGGGTGAGGAGGCGGCTGCGCCTCCTTTCCCTTCCACCCTTTGCGTTCCAGGGGGGCTCCGAAGCCCCTCCTCCTCTCTCAGCGCTCGTGCTGGATGGGAGGAGGGGGCTTGGGTCGACCGCAAGGAGCCCAGGCCTTTCGACCCTAAATTCACTGAGAGTCTGTGCTGGAAGCGCCCGCGGTGTCCTGTTTCTCATTGCCGTCCACCCTGCCCCATGGGAGGGTGGACACTGAGGTCAAGGGAGGGGGTATGACCTGGCAGCGACGCCCGGGGCAGAGTTCAGGTCCCTCTGTGCCTTCCTGGCAAGGGAAGAGCCCCGCAGCTGGGATTGGGTCCAGGAGAGGGAAGGCGGGAGAGCGCAGGCGCCGCTGATTGGCCCAAAGTTCTCCGGGGCCAGCCAATGGGCGGGGGGGGGGCGGCGCGTGGCCGGCTCCGGATGTCCCGGGCTGCGCGCCGAGGCTGGGCTCTGTGCCTCGGCCGTTCCTGTCGCGGCTGCTTCTTGGTGCTGTCCCAGGAGCTTGTCCTCCGCTCCCGCCCCCAAGATCTGCCCACCGTCCCGCGCCCGGCCGCCCCGCCATGGGCCTGGAGCTCTACCTGGACCTGCTGTCGCAGCCCTGCCGCGCCGTCTACATCTTCGCCAAGAAGAACGGCATCCCCTTCGAGCTGCGCACGGTGGAGCTGCTCAAAGGTGGCCTGGAGAGCTGGCGGGGGTGTCTGGGCCCCGGGTGCAGGCCGACCCCCGCCTGTCCCCGCGGCTTCGCGGTCGGGCCAGTGTGCAGACAGACAGGAAGAGTCAGGCTCCAGGGTGGAAACCGTTGCATCAGTTATCAGTTGTGTATTTTTAAAGAGCCTTGATCTTTGCCTAGTGAATACAAAACGTTCTTCCAAAAACAGGTTAAGAGGAGGCAGAGCAAGTACAGGGGGAGTGTAGGGAAGTAGAGTGCAGGCTGGAATATCTCAGCCCCAGGCTTGGAGAAAACAATTAAACTGCCTCCTCCTTTACCGGTGGATAGGGTTGGTCCACCTGGACCCCTCTAGGGGTCTCCTCTTTCCTCCTACCTGCCCCTGGCTAGGTCCCTTCCACTTTTATGTCTTCCTTGCCATTCTTCTGCCTTTTCTTTTTCCTGCTTCTCACCCAGCTGGAGGACTTGTTCCTAGAGGACGGAGGGCCCTGTGGCAGGACCATGGGGGAGGCCAGCATCCTCGCCCGAGGCTGCAGGGTTTGCTGGTCTGGCTAGCCAAGAACATAGCTGGAGCAGAACTCAGTGGAGGAGGCAAGGCTATAACTAGGCAGGAGGGCAGGCACCAGGGCCCGAGCTCCGTGGGCAGGCCAGAGGGAGGCCCCTGCTTGGCTGAGCCCTCCCACGTGCTGCCCATGGTACCCCTAGCTTGGGCACCTCCTATAGGACAGAGGCAGCTTCTGGAGGGAGAATGGGCAGGGGTGGTTGTGTCCACTCAGTTGAGAGGCAAAGAGGACCACAGGTAGGGCTCTGATATGGCTGGAGCCTGGCTTGACTGAGGCCCTCTGATCCACACACCTTAACCAGGCATCTCATGTAGCCTCCAGCACTGACCTGGGTTAGGGGAGTGTATGTGGAAGTGAGTCAGACCTGGGAACCCCCACTGGGAAGGGGACCTTGGGAGTTTGGCACAGGAAAGGAATAAGAGCTTAGCTGATGGAGACTGGGTGGCTGAATGGGACAGGTGTTCCTGGCAAGAGTGAGGTTGGCATGAGGACTGAACGCAAGTGTGGCTGGGGTTCTGGGGTGTGGATAAGTCACCCAGCCTGGTCAGAGGGACCTGATTCCCTGCCTGACATAGGAAGATGGATCAGAGGAGACATGCTTAGAGCCCAGGGAGGAGACTGGAGAGGCTGACCTACGGATGGAACTGGCTGGGGTGCGGGGTGGATTACAGCCCAAGGGAATCACCCTCCCCCATGCTCCAAGGGGAAAGGCAGACCTCTGATGGTCTCAGGGTCTAAGATGCAGTGACTAGCAGAGTGGCCTCCTCTTCCCTGATGCCCCCCTTATAGGGGCCTCAGAAAGCTAGTGCCTAGGTTTTGGGGTGGGTGGGGACAGGCAGAGACCCCAGAGGGCTCAGGGTTCTCCCCGTCCAACACTCACCTCACTGCTCTCCCTTGAAGGTCAGCACCACAGTGATGCCTTTGCCCAGGTGAACCCCCTGAGGAAGGTGCCGGCCTTGAAAGACGGGGACTTCACCTTGGCTGAGAGGTAACAGGTCACTGGGCTGCTGCCAGGCCTTGTGGGGCGAGTCAGCCATTTGTGTGTCCACTGTTGATGGGGTGGACCTTGGCTTGTGGGCCCAGCACCTGTGGCACCCCCGGGGCAGAGAGTGGGCTGAGTTGGGCAGAGGCACCCAGGGCTGGAGGGGCTGCCACAGCATCCCTGCTCTCTTCCTGCATGGTACAGATGAGGAAACTGAGGGGAGGGAGTTGCACAAGGTCACAGGGCCCAGCCTGCTTCCAGGCTTCCTCACTGCCAGCCCAGCCTTTAGAAGCAAGGAGAGTGCTAAGTATTGAGAAGCTGCTGTCCCAGGCTCTTAGAGCTACCACTTCTCCCACAAATCCCGTGGGGGAAGCAGGGGTGGGGAAGGGAACACCCAACGAGCTTCAGTGGCTATTTGCTGAGCGTCCACCAGGCCCAGCCCATAGAGGCCTGGCTTGAGAGTGAACGTGTCTCCGTCCTTGTGCTCACGGAGCTCACATCCTAGACTGGAGAGCTGACAGTAAACCTCGTAAGCATGTAGCACTGCAGGTGTCGATGCGGGCCATGGAGAAAATCAACATGGCAAGAGTAGGGTGTTGAGGGAAGGCCCCCTGGACAAGGTGGCATCTGAGTAGAGACCTGCAGGAATGGAGGCACCAGGCATGTGGGGAAGAGTGTTCTGGCTGGAGGGAAGGGTGAAGTGGGACGATGGGTGGGGTGCAGGCTGGAGGGCAGGGGGCCAGAGTGGCTGGGGAAAAGGGAGAAAAGGAGAAGGTGAGGGCAGAGGGTAATGTGGGGGACAGGGAAGCTTTCAGCTCTTCCCACAGGGGGATGGGGCCATAGGAAGGTTTTGAGCAGAGGAGAGCTGTGATCTGACTTATGTTTTAAAGGATCCCTCTGGCTGGAGTGAGAAGGCTACTGCAGTCACCCAGCAATCAGTGCCGTGGCCCCTACCAAATTAGTGGTGGTGCAACATGGGGGCGGTTGGCTCGGACTTTCTTGAAAGTTGAGCTGCAGGCTTTGCTGAAGGGTTGGAGAGATGGGAGCCAAGACCAGGTTTCTGGCTGAATGGTGGTGTCCCTTACCAGGGCCACATAGTGCTTCCGTGTTAGAGCTGTATTCATGTTCAGAGCCGTTTGGCTCCAGAGCCTGTGGTCACTGAACACACCAACACCAATGGAGGTGTGATGAGCTCTGGGGGTCAGGCTGCATGGGCCAGATGTGATGGGGTAGAGGTCAGGGAGGACTTCCTAAGGGAGGGGGCTGGAGCAGTGGAGGGGAGGTGGGACAGGGTGTGAAGGAATGCACCTATGTCACCTGGGAGGCCTTCTTCCAGCCCCAGGAGAGTCTGAGGAGGTAGCTGGCTTTGGATCTTTTGGGGAATGGTATGTAAGTTGCTCTCATCCTTTAAGATTCACACCAAGTTCCCCTTCCTCCTAGAAGCCTTCCCTGAGCCCCTCCCCGGGCCCCTGCTGAAATCCCTGATATTTTGTTTTTTACCTGCTGCCCTTAGTTCAGATGATGGGCTGGCCCAGTGAAGAGTTGTGTGACCTTGGGCCATTACCTAGCCTCTCTGGGCCTCACATTCCTCCTCTGCACCATGGGGACAGTGAAAATGCCCCACAACATAGCTGAAGAGTGACTGGGGCATGTTTTCACCTCTGCCATGTCCCCCCAGTGTGGCCATTTTTTTTTTTTACATATTTTTTAAATTTAAATTTTATTTTATTTTTTCTTATATATTTTTTATTTATATTAATTTATTTTTACTCTCTTTTTTTCATTGCTTTCCATCCTAATTTGTCCTACAGTGTGGCTATCTTGCTGTATCTGAGCCGCAAGTACAAAGCCCCTGACCACTGGTACCCCCAGGACCTGCAGGCCCGCGCCCGCGTGGATGAGTACCTGGCATGGCAGCACACGGCCCTGCGGAGTAGCTGCTCCCGGGCCCTGTGGCAGAAGGTGAGTCACAGGGAGGCAGTGACACCTCTCAGGATACTCAACGGATGGAGCTTCATGTTTAAAAAATAAAAAAATAAAAAAATGAAACCAAAAGTTCCATTCAGACCTGAGACCTTAGAACACCCAATCCTGGAATGCCAGAGACTGCCTAGTCCAACCAACTTGTTTCTCAGAGGGGAAACCAAGGCATGGAGCCAACGAGTGATGCCATTAATGTGCCTTGATTCCTGAGTTACTAGGAGTTAATCCTAAGCCTTTTGCACACTCCAGGCTGCCTGGGAATATTGCCTTTTAGGGGAGGAAAAAATCCCAATCTTCGCTTTGTTACACACATAATTCCCAGATGGAGAGGTATTAAGTGAAAAAAGCCAAACTAGGGAGAAGTGAGGAAACATTTCAATAAATGTTTGTCTGATTTCTGGGTATGGAAGGACTTTCTGAGCCCAAGAACACTGGAAGAACTCAACAAAGAAAAGACTCATAGATTTTACATATACAATGAAATTTTATATAAGAAAAAAATTAAGACTAAAAGAAGTAAATTGACCCTGGGTGCTCTGTCTGGCGGACCGGCCGGCACACCGCAGGGTCCCTAAAATTTTTTTAAAATTAAAAAAAATAAAATTAAAAATAAAAAAAAGATTAAACTTAAAACAAGCAAAATGCTGGAAAAGATATGTTAGAAATTTTGTCTTTGAGATGCTCTTAGAACTGGCTTTCAGACAAAAGCACCAAAGAAAAATGGGCAAAGGAAACCAGTAAGGGTTTAATTGAAGGACAGACAGAAACAGTCAATAAGTGGATGAAAACATGTTTAACTCTAATAATAATCAAATAAGTGCACATCAACACAACACGCACGTACTATTTTTACTTATCAAATGTGTATATGTTTTTGAAATGTATATCCCAACCTAATATTTGCAGAGTGCTTATGTGGTGCAGGGGTGCCCTGTGAGTATGAGGGAGCGTCAAAGGGCCTGTGCACGGCAATAAATGGGTTTCCATAAACTTAACTGCCTCTTCCTGGAGCCTCTAGGGGCTGGGGGCTAAGTCCCCCACTCCCAAGCTGGTAGGGAGGGAGCCTGGTGCATTTGATGACAGAATGGAGAAAAGTTGAGTGGACTGAGTACAGACTCTTGCTACTCAAAGTGTGGTCCGTGGACCAGGAGCATTGGTGTCACCAGGGAGCTTGTTGGAAATGCAGAATCTCAGGCCTCACCCCAACCTAGTGATTGGGAACATGCACTTTAACCAGATGTCAGGGGATTTGCACACGCATTCCTGTTTGAGAAGCCTGGGTACAGCAGGAAGTGGGGTGGGGAGGCGGGAGAGGATGGCTACTGCCTGGGGAGGGCTCTATGTGGTGGTCTTTGTCATGAGGGCAGTGGGGAGCCATGCAAGGTATTGCGCAGGAAAGGGTATGGGCAGATTGAGATCGCAGAAGGATCCCGCTGGCTGCCCTGTAGGAGGACCCAGGGAGAGGTAGAGGTTGTCCTTGTTTGAGCAGGAGTTGAGGGCTGCTGGTGGCCATGGGGTGGAGAGGGGTGGGCAGAGGTGAGGAGAAACTGGAGGGCTGGTGATGAAGCAATGAGGGCAGGAACCAGGGCTTAGGGCAGAGCCTGACCTTTCTCTCTGCCTGCTGGCCCACCAGATGATGTTCCCTGTGTTCCTTGGTGAGCCGGTTCCCCCAGAGACATTGGCAGCCACTTTGGCTGAGCTGGACAGGTGCCTTCAGCTGCTTGAGGACAAATTTCTGCGGGACCAGGCCTTCCTCACTGGGTCCCATATTTCCCTGGCTGACTTGGTGGCCATCACAGAGCTGATGCATGTGAGTGCCATGGAGTGAGGTGGCCCCCTGGGCAGTGGGGTGTCCAGGGAGGGAGCTGACATTGCAGCCCACGTTGTCCTTTCTGGCTGTGGGACCCTGGGGGAGTCACTTCCTCCACTGAGCCTCAGTGTTCTCATCTATAAAATGGGGTTTCACAACCCCTCACCACAGGGATGTTGAGAAACTTCCCATTGTCCCCTAGTAGAGGGATCCCCCATCCCATCACTCACATGGTAGAGGAGGGAGGATACAACCGGAGAGTCCCTAATGCAGTCCCTAAGGCGTGGTGGCTGCCTTGTGCATGGCTGGTGTCCAGCCCCTCCGCCTGGCTGTCTCTCCCTGTAGCCTGTGGGCGCTGGCTGCCAAGTCTTCGAAAGCCGACCCAAGCTGGCCGCATGGCGACAGCGCGTGGAGGCAGCGGTGGGGGAGGATCTCTTCCAGGAGGCCAATGCAGACATCCTGAAGCTCAAGGACCTGCCTCCGGCAGACCCCGTCACGAAGGAGAAGCTGAGGCCCTCAGTGCAGGCTTTGTTGCAGTGAGCGGGCGGTCTGTGCTGGCAGAACACAGAGATGGAGCTGCCTGGCTCCTTGGCTGTAAGGACTCCCATCCTAGTGGGCTCTGGTCCCTAGCACCCTCCAGGCATCGTGCCTGTGTGTGTTCCTTTTGTCTCCCCACCCCACTTTCCCTTCTGTTCCAGCTTCCATGTGACCTCTGGAAACTGCTTTAGTAAACACTTAATCAACCTTGCCCTTCTTCTGTGTGAAACTTTCTGTGGTTCCTCACAGGCTAAAGCACAAGGCATTGAACTTTGCTTTTAAGGCCTTACCCCCTTCTGGCCACACACATTTCAGACCCTCTCCAAGCTCCCACCTCAGCCTCCTGGCCTTGACTCCTGCCATTCCCTCCTTACCTTTTTTGCCTGGTAGACCCTCCTGGACTTTTGGCATTCGGCACCCTGTCGCTTCTCCAGGGAGACTTCCCTAACCTCCCCAGCCCAAGCCAAGCTCAGGCAGCCCCTCTGGTGGGCTCCTCAGCCCATCGCTTCCCTCCCTCAGTCTCAGCAGGCTTCATCCCCTAGGCTGTGCATGAATCACAGATGGGGGCTAACCTGAATCAGGTATGGCCTCCATCTCCTAAGTCTCCCTCTGGGATGGTGCTGCCTCCCACAGGTGGGGCACAGGGCTGGAGTCATAAACCTCTTTGTGGGGAGGGAAGCCCCTGGTTATCCCTGGCCCTCCAGGTGCCGCTGAGCAGCTTCACTCTCCCAGGCCTCGTAACCCTGACCACTGGCTTCTCCATGCCCTACCCTGGCTCCCAGACTTGCCACCTGGCCCTGTGCTCTCCCCTCAAGACTGTCACAACCTACTTGTCTTGTGTCCCAGACCCTCTGGTATCTGAGTCGTCTAGCAGATGAAATGCTAACAGAGCAGGGCCGTGACAGATGCAGACTCTTGGCCGGCCTTCCCACGGAGGCTCCTTTAATATGCACACTTATACGCCATTTTTATGTGAAAAATTGAAATTGTACACATGTACCACACAATTTCAATTATATTTGAAATTTACAATTCAAATTTGCAACACTGATGAAACACTTGTGTTTAGCCACACCAACAGATCTTCATGTCATAAATAACACTTGTGCCGCCCACGCGGACGGCGGCTCCCCACTGGCAGAGGCTACACAGCAGGCGCCGCGACATCTCCATATCTATCGGAGGTGAAATCACCTTTGAATGGTGGCAACTCACTCAAAACATTTTTAAACTCCCATGACATTCGTTATCAGGGTCGGGCCTGTGGAAGACCCTACAGGAGTGTGTGTTTGGGGGGATTATTATTTTTTTTTTTTGAGACAGAGTCTCACTTTGTTGCCCAGGCTAGAGTGAGTGCCGTGGCGTCAGCCTCGCTCACAGCAACCTCAATCTCCGGGGCTCAGGGGATCCTCCTGCCTCAGCCTCCCGAGTAGCTGGGATTACAGGCATGCGCCACCATGCCCGGCTAATTTTTTTTTTTGTATATATATTTTTAGTTGCTCAATTAATTTATTTCTATTTTTGGTAGAGACGGGGTCTCGCTCTTGCTCAGGCTGGTTTCAAACTCCTGACCTTGAGCAATCCGCCCGCCTCGGCCTCCCAGAGTGCTAGGATTACAGGCGTGAGCCACCACGCCCGGCTGGGGGGATGTTTTGATCTCGGCGTCAACACGGGCCAGGAACCCAGCGATACCGGGGAAAGCTCTCGCCAGCGGGTCAGGGCGAGGGCGGGGCCGGGACGCGGTGGGCGGGGCCGGGACGCGACCAAAGCCGTTTCGGGGTGTGGCCAACGCAGGGGGCCGGGCGATGGGACTTCCGACAGAGCCAGACTGGTCCGCCGAGGCGGGGGTGTGGCCTAAGGCAACCAATCGGGAGCCAGCCAGTGAGGAGCCCGTTGCCGCGGCGCCCCGCCCCGCTGCGTAGTCCCGGCGCCCTGCGGACCCGGCCGCACTCCGTCGCTCGCCCTCCCTGCGGCCGCCCGACATGCCTTTCGTCGAGCTAGACACGAACTTGCCCGCCGGCCGCTTGCCCGCCGGGCTGGAGAAGCGTCTCTGCGCGGCCACCGCCGCCATCCTGCGCAAGCCCGAGGACGTGAGCGTGGGCTGGGAGCTGCGGGCGAGGGGGGGTTGCGGGTCCAGGAGTCGGGCTCCGTCCTGCCCCGCCGCGACCCCGGCTTTTCTCCCCAGGGACACCCCCCTGCGCCCGCCCTGCTCTGACTGTCCGCGCGCCGTGCCCCCTCCCCACGCCTGCCCTCCTCTGCCGTGACCCTGCCGTGACCTCCAAGGACCCCGGCCTGTGCCCAGAGCCCTGACCCCGCGACCCTGTGCGTCTCGGCTCGCGCGCGCCGGGGTCCCTAGAGTAGCCTGGCCCGCCCCAGCTTCGGGAATAACTTTGGTGTCCTCCGCAGCGCGTGAACGTGACGGTGCGGCCGGGCCTGTCCATGTCGCTGAACGGCTCCATGGAGCCCTGCGCGCAGCTGCTCGTCTCCTCCATCGGCGTGGTGGGCACCGCGGAGGAGAACCGAGGCCACAGCGCTGGCTTCTTCGAGTTCCTCACCAAGGAGCTGGCCCTGGGCCAGGACCGGTGCGTAGGGGTCGGGAGAGGACCCATCCTGGACTGCCGTGAGACAGGAGGCGGTGATCCCAACTCAGGGAAAAAATGCATCTCTTGCCCTGCCCAGGAGGGTCCATCAGGGTCTGATGTCTTGGGGCCCTTTGACCCCTTAAGCTCTCAGGTGGTGGGTCCATCCTCACAGTGCATTCCTGGCTCTGCTCCTCAGTGCTTCCACCTGTGAACTGGGAAGGCTGTTTTTTAACCACTCCGCAGGGGCATTGCAAGAGTCATGTGGGATGGTCTATGTGCTTCCTGCCCTGGCACCTGGCTGAAGAAGCCAGAGAGTGTGCTTTTCTCGAACTTTTCAGGGCTGCTCAGAAGGTCCAGAGGTTGTGACCTTTGGACTTGTGGTACAATCGGGTTCCAGGTGAGGCTTGGGGGAGGGTCACAGAGTGTGAAAAGAGCTTTGGCCTGGGTGTGTAGACACCTGGGTTCTAGACCCAGCATAGCTGGGGGACACCAGACAAACCTGGAAATGAACCATCTCCAATTTGCAGCCTCTTGGGAATGGCAGGGAGGGTTGGTTAAATGAGTTCCTTCCCCTATGAGAAGCCCCACAAGAAGCCCTTACAACCCAAACCTGGCATTTTGCAGCAAAGTTCAAGTTTCCTCTTGGGTGAAAATATTCCCGAGCCAAGTCCATACCGGTGAGGAAATAAGGGCCTGAGCAGCTTGAAAGGACCGTTCAGAATGGAGCCTTGGCGGGTGCGGTGGCTCATGCCTGTAATCCTAACACTCTGGGAGGCCGAGGTGGGAGGATCACTCAAGGTCAGGAGTTGCAAAACCACCCTGATCAAGAGCGAGACCCTGTCTCTACTATAAATAGAAATCAATTGGTTAACTAAAAATATATAGAAAAAATTAGCTGGGTGTGGTGGCGAATGCCTGTAGTCCCAGCTACTCGAGAGGCTGAGGCAGAAGGATTGCTTGAGACCAGGAAGGAATTTGAGGTTGCTGTGAGCTAGGCTGATGCCACGGCACTCTAGCTGGGGCAACAAATGAGACTCTGTTTCAAAAAGGAAAACAAATAAAAAATAAAATAAAAAGAATGGAGCCATTGTTGGCCAAGGGAGGCTGGTGGGTGTTAAGACCGTGTTCTCAGTCTGGGGAGGGATAATACAGTTAGTCCTCTGTCTGTGGATTCTGCATGTGTAGAGTCAACCAACTGTGGGTTGAAAATATTCGAGGAAAAGAAAAAGGCTGAACATATACAGACTTTTTTTCTTGTCATTATTCCCTAAATAACACAGTATAACCACCTAGTGTATACTTTACATTAGATATTATAAATAATCTAGAGATGATTTAAAGTATATGGGAGGATATGCATAGGTTATATGCAAATACTACACCATTTTTTATAAAGGCTTGAGCATATGGATTTTGGTATCTCGGGGCATCCTGGAACAAATCCCCCATGGATACTGAGGGACAATCATAATACTAACAACAATAAGTAGTGTACAAATGCTTGCCATGTGCCAGATATTCTACAGGTACATTACATGCATGATCCCATTCGGTACTTACAAGCCCTGTCCACACTCCCCTCATGCAGACATGCCATCCCTTTGAGGTAGATCTCTCCCTTATGTAGGTTTTACAGGTGGAAGGACTGAAGCTGTCATAACTATCCTCCCCCGCCCCAGTCAGGTTATCCCAAGCTTTGGTGCTCCTCACTGGAAACTTTCTGACACCTTGTGAGAGGGGCATCATGTTCACTCTTTCCACAGACATTAGTTGGGGGGGGTCACCCTGTGCCTGGACTTGGGCCAGACTTTGAGAAAACAAGGGTGGCTGAGGCACTGCATGCCCTCATGGAACCTGCAGTTAGGAGGAGGCAGGCTCCCCCTCCCAGCCCACATACTGGGGGTGATTGTGCGTATAGCATACACACTGAGCCTACTGTGTTGAGTGTCTGTCCCAGGTGGGCCACGCTGATGTGTAGCCTTCATCCCACATCTGACAATCCTACTGCCCTGTCAAGGGTCAGGGGAAGATCACACTGTGATGAAAAGGTTTACAAAATGCCTGGTGGGCTGTCCTGGGATCCCACAGTCGGAGCACCTGATGGGGGTCTTGCAAGATGAGGTGGTTAGCCAAGGAGCTGATGACTTCTTTTTCTCTATCTCCTGAAGGATCATTATCCGCTTTTTACCCCTGGAGCCCTGGCAGATTGGCAAGAATGGGACAGTCATGACTTTTATGTGATTAGCATCTGTGAGCTGGCTGCCCCTTGCAGAAAGACCTCCTGGCAGAATGAGGGCCTAGTGGATACCAACTTTGGATACTCCCTCATGCAGACATGTCTGAGACCTCACAGTCCTGTTCTTCCCCAGCCTCATGCCAAATAAATGAAGAGAGCTTCATGGATCAGACATGACTTCTTTATCTCCTATACTTCTGGGCATGCTGGGCCAGTGGGGGCAGCAGGGCTGGTGGATGAGGAAGAGACCTTAGGTAACCTGGAGGTGGGATGTTTCCTGGCTTCCGGGCTGCTGTCTGATATGTTCAGACTGCTCAGATCTCTGGGTGGAGGGCTCAGCCTGGAGGCTTTCCTCTCCGTACCCATGTGCAGGCCGGTGGGGAGGTGTAGGCAGCTGGTCCAGCCTGGGCCTTCCCTATAGACTCTGGTGAGATCTCCTGAGGTTCCTGTCCTCAGCCTTGGGTACACTAGGCCAATTCCTGTCCATAGTCTTCTGTATCAGGCAGGGGAATAGGGCAGGATGCGCTTCAGGAACCTTCTCTGGGCATTACAGGGAAGAAAACTGCCATCTTCCCCCTTGACTCTTGCTGAGAATTCTTTGGAGTTGTCCACTTTGTAAAATTCGTGTCCCAGAATGCCAAACCTGGAAGTGCAGCATCTGCTACTAGAAACTGAATCAATGTGGTCCATGCCATCTAACCTTTTGAATTTCAGAGTATGTATGGGTGGAGTGGGGGAGCCCAAAGGAAGTCTGCATTTCAGCAGCTTTCTAGAACTTTGATGCAGAGTTTTCATCTCATGACCTTTAGACACTGTAGTGGACACTGTTTCCCTGCACAGTTAAACATTTGATGATCCTTGTCTTTAGACACCAGTGAAATACCAAATTCAGGTTTTAAGTCTGTGAAGCCTACATAGTAAATAAAGTTAGTTTCTAGTGGAATATGCTTGTGTCTGCTATGTTTGTGCCTGACTGTTGCTAAGGACTCTCCTTAAAAGCTAGGTCTTGGAGTTCCTTTCCCTGGCTCAACTCTTTCTGCACCCATCTCTCTGCCAACATGTCTCATGGGTGTCCTGCTTCCCAGAGGGACTCAGGGAATGTTTGTGGATTGTATATGAATAACTGGTGGCAGTGCCCAGGGATGGGTTTCAGGCTTAACTCTCACTAAACCACAAGACGACAAGCTCTTACCAAGTCCCCCCCCCCATGTTAAATCTATCACCCCCACTGTAGCAACAGTGATACGTTACCTGCTTGCTTGTGTGGACTGGCCTTTTCCCACCTCTCCAGAGTCTTCTCCCAACTGTGGCCCTGAGCTTTGTGTTATGATAATATTGTGTGGCCTGGGGCCCCTGTATGATCTAAAGTTTCTCACCTCAGAATCCTTACCACACAGCTCCCTTGCTGCTTGGACCACCCTTCCCACCTTTTTTCAACTGTTTTCACTCCTATACGTCTTTCAATATATAACTCAGGGGTGGGAGCTGCATCCAAGGCTGCATGTTATCTGTGCAATTTTGAAATCATTTGTTTATGCTTCTGTGCAACGCCCTCCAATAACTTTTCTTGAGTCAAGGTTGGTGACTCAATAAATTTCGAAACTCATAGCATATCAGGAAAGCTTTATAGTACAGAACTTTACCATGATTTTACTGCCTTTAAGGTCAAAAAGAAGGCCCTAACATTCATTCCTATTTAAATCATCCTTGCTGGACTCAAGCAGCTATGAATTCAACCACAACGTGAAGCCCGTCCCTAAATGGCTGTGTTATTACTTCCCAAGAGACTAAACCTCTTTCCTCCGCCTGAAGCCCTTCAATTCTGGAGTCCCTTAGCAGCTCTGGAATTCTGACACCACCACCCCACCCCCCACGTCCCCGCCCCCGCCCTGTTCATTCACTGGGTCTCGTTCTTTCTTTCCCTTTGTTTCAATAGTTCGATTGTACCTGTGCTTTTTGGGTTTCAAATCCTTTTCGGAAAGAGGTGAGGCACGGGTCATATAATGAATAAGGATGCTCTTCCTCCCTAGTTTCCCCTAAATGTTCCTCAAGTTTCCAAGGCCTTCAGAGCACCTGTCCCAGGCCGTAACGACACGACACGCAGCCAGTCATTTAGCAGCTGCTCAGGGCTGGGCGGCGAGCGTTGCAGGAGGTAGAGCCAGAATCCGACCACGAGCCGGCGCTCCAAGCCCCCAACACACTCCCGAGCCAGGTTCCGGGACCCACAGGCGACCGTCTGTTGTGGCCCAGACGCACGCCGGGCAGCTCCGTGGGGCGCCGCCCGCAGGGCGGGGGCGAAACTACACTGCTGAGAGCGAGCAGCGCGCGGGCCCTCGCTGATTGGCTGGCGGAGCCGGCATCGGAGCCAATGGGAGAGCGTCTTGTTGTCAGGCGCGCAGCCGGCCGGCGCGGGGGTCGGGGCTGACGGGCTGTTGCTGTGGAGACGCTGGGTGAGTTCCTGGGCTGCAGGTTTGGGGGCTGCGCCGGGGTGGGCGCGCGGCTAGGCTGAGCCAGGGACGCGGGCCAGAGGGGCTCCCGGCTCGGGGGGCAGTCACGTGAGGACGCTGGGGGTTCCTCGGGCAGCCCCCAGAGCCAAAGTCAGGGAAACCGAGGCCGGAGAGTGGGAGGGCCTAGGCCGGGCTTCACAGCTGCACCGCGGGCTTCTTTGCAGCTCGCGCCGCCGCCATGGGCTGCCCAGCGTGGGTTCCGGCCTCCGGAGCGGTTTACAGTAACAGCAGGAGCCACCACTGATGCGGCGTCTGCCAGATGCAAAGCCTGGCACTAACCCTTTATTCGCGTCCTTTCCCTTCACCTTCACGGCAGCCCTGCGAGGTGAGTGCTGTCATTAGTGCCTTTTACAGAGGTGGAAACTGAGGCCGAGGGAAGGTGAAATGACTTGCCCAGTGGGTTCGCCCTATCCGGACTGAAAATCTTGACCACTCTACAGCCCCCGAGGAGGAGGCAGGCCCTGGCTAGATAGAGCTCACCTGACACTCCCAGGTGTGGCTGCACAAGTGACTTTGGGGGTTACTTAACTCTGCAGGACTTGAGTTATTACAGGTCGCAAGTGCGGAACCGTTGGATTCCATGCAGCTAAGATTCCTTCTATGTGATTATCGTAGTTAGAATATTTTTAGAATGGTCCCGTTCAGGGGTCGTCGAACTTTTGTTGTAAATATAATATTTATTTTATTATAATATGTTGTAAATATAAGCATAATAGTTTTTTTTATTTTTTTATTTTATTTTTTTGGTGACTGGCTTGGCTGTGGTTTATTCCAAAGAGAATTGATGGTTGTTGGACATGATTTGAGGGGAATTCCTGAGGGCGAAGAAAGGGGAGAAGGGGCCTTGGAACTAGATGAGTCACAGCTGGAGGACCCCAGGGCCGTGAACTCTGCAGAAGGGCCGTGTGCTGGCATTCCCCGCCAGCTGCTGAAGCCGTCAGCGGGAGGGAAGGCGAAAGGGGGTTTCTGGGGACCCAGGGCCGCCCATGTCCTGGCCTTCTGCATGATCAAATGTGATGCAGCAGGTCCCTCGGTGGGGTTGGTGGGGCCGCTTGGTGAAGGAGTTGCCTATCTCCCACCTTGACTCCAGACGTCGAGGCGAGGCCTGATCCTTCTCTTCATCCACTGCCGCGGGGCGACAGCACCACCACATAATAGTATTTTAGGTTCTGAGGGTCATACTCTGTCTACTCAGTTCTAGTGTTGTAATGCGGATACAACCAAAGGCAATATATAAGAGAGTGGCTGTGTTCCAATAAAATTTACTTATGGACACTGAAATTTGAATTTTATGTGATTGTTATATAATTTTCATGTGCCATGTATTTTTTTTCCAAACCTTCTAGAAATGTAAAAACCATTCTCTGATCCTGGGCTGTACAAAAACAATGGGCTAGTTAGCTTGCAGAACTCTTGTCTACTCCAAAGCGTTATGCAATAAGGGACTCGGGCATCATATGCCCAGTCCTTCACACAGCTGTGTAGTGCCACAACTGAGCCTAGGCTTTCCAGTTCCCATTCCAGAGCTGGCCAGGAACCACTGCTTATCCTAGGATACAGGTGCTGAGGTGAACGAAGTGTGCTGTTCCTTTTGTTTTTTGAGACAGAGTCTCACTTTGTTGCCCAGGCTAGAGTGAATGCCGTGGCATCGGCCTAGCTCACAGCAACCTCAATCTCCTGGGCTCAGGTGATCCTCCTGCCTCAGCCTCCCAAGTAGCTGGGACTACAGGCATGCGCCACCATGCCCGGCTAATTTTTTCTATATATATTAGTTGGCCAATTAATTTCTTTCTGTTTATAGTAGAGACGGGGTCTCGCTCTTGCTCAGGCTGGTTTGAAACTCCTGACCTTGAGCAATGTGCCCGGCCTGCTGTGCCTTATCATGTATTCTTAGGCCATGGAAACCATACTCTAAAAGGATTTGGACTCGTGAGCTTAAACTGGCAAATGCTGTTGTGAGAAAATGCAACTGCTGGGCTGGTAGTCAGAAATGAATAGGTATTTCTTTTCCCATCTTTATTCAATAATTTTTTTTTAAGCTCTTTTTAGTGAGTTTCTGTGGTTCATGGTGAGCAATACATACATGGTCACCATGCTCACATTGCTTACAGATGATAAATGTGTGATCTAAATGGTTATTTCTTTTTTTTTTAGACAGAGTCTCACTCTGTTGCCCGGGCTAGAGTGCCATAGTGTCAGCCTAGCTCACAGCAACCTCAAACTCCTGGGCTCAAGCGATCCTCTTGGCTCAGCCTCTCAAGTAGCTGGGACTACAGATGTGCACCACATTGCCCGGCTAATTTTATATGTATATTTTTTTAGTTGTGCAGCTAATTTCTTTCTATTTTTTTTTTAGTAGAGACGGGGTCTCGCTCTTGCTCAGGCTGGTCTCGATCTCCTGAGCTCAAACGATCCTCCTGCCTCAGCCTCCCAGAGTGCTAGGATTACAGGCATGAGCCACCACGCAAGGGCATTAAATGATTGTTTCCTTTTAAGCTTTTTATTTTAAACTAATTTTAGATTTAGAAAAAAGTTGCAACAATAATAGAAAAAGTTACCTATGCCCCTTACCCTGGTTCCCCTGATTTTAACATCTTACACAATCAAAGTGCACTTATGAAGAACAGGAAACTAGCATTGGTACGATACTGTTAACTACATTATA